AATTAACTCTTCCCTGCACCCCTCAAGCACCCATAATTAATCAAAATTCGAAGTAAATTGAAGTAAAATAATAGTGAAATTTGAGAGGGGAAAAAGGAAATCAATTGGGGAAGACTGAGATTTGAGAAATTAAAGTTATTGGTAGTGAAATCTGAGAGGGGAAGAAAGAAATCAAGTGGGGAAGTCTAAAATATGAGAAATGAGAGCTGTCGATGCGGTGTGAAGAAGATGAGAAGGGGCTGGCCGAAAAAAAAAAAATGAGAACAATGGATTATAAGGACTTAATATAAAACGACGTCGTTTTATTAAATGTAACCTCCTAATTTTTAGGAGGCATGGTTGACCGACAGTATCCTCAATAGATAATGCTACTGCACCCTCAGTATTTAGAGAGTGAGTAAATTCCATAAAAGTGTTGTTAAACCTTTTTATGGTATTAGAGCACAAGAAATAATCTTTTTCGCATTTCTCCCTTCTACTCTCAATGGCCTCCTTGACAAATTCTACTTCCCTTACTATTACTACCATTGCCCAAATCTCTGCCATGGTTAGTGAAAAACTGACTTCAAAGAACTACCTCTCATGGCAAGATCAAATCTTTCCACTAATTGAAGGAATCTCCATGGGGGACCACATTCTCTTTGACTCAAAGGCCTTTAAAGCTACAAGGTTGTCCTTAGATAGCAAGGAAGAACAAAATCCTCTATTGGTAATTTGGTTGCAAGAAGATAGGCTAGTCAAGAGCTTGACCGTTGCAACATTATCCCCAGTAGTTCAAAACTTTATGGTCGGACTCAAATTTGCCAGGGATGTATGGAAGGCCTTGGAGGAGCGCTTTGCAAACTCCTCTAAAGAAAGGGCTTGAGATCTCTTACGACAACTACAAGAGGTCAAAAGAGATGAACATCCTACTCTTGATGCATATCTACAAGAGATAAATATGATTAACAATGAGCTTGCTACTATTAAAGAGCCATTTGATGATGGTGATAAAGTATATTAGTCTCTAAATGGTCTTGGTGATAAATATGATAACTTTGTCACACCAATGCAAGTTCAATTTCCTCCTGCTTCATTTGAAGAGTTTACTAGCTATTTGTCTAATTTTGAATAGCACCATAAGAACTTGCTTTCAAATGAGACGCAAGTGTTTACTGCACATCGCGGAAGAGGTCGATACAACAATCGTCCTCTTAGAGGCAAAGGTCAATCAAGAGGAAGAGGAGCCTCCTCATACAACAACAATAGAACCAACAACAAGAACTCAAATGCTCAACAACAAGGATCAAGCGAAACAAATTTGAATCAACGATCATCAATTATATGTCAAATCTGCAACAAGCCTAGACATAAAGCATTACGTTGCTATGAAAGATTTAATCATGCATATCAAGAGGAAGGCATCTCAAAGGCACTCGCTACATTCTCAATAATAGATTCATAAGATCCAGATTGGGTTCCTGATATTAGAGCCATGTCTCATCTCACTAATGATCCAGGTAATCTTGTTAATGTTAAACCATATCGAGGAACTGATAAAATCATAGTTGGAGATGGTAAGAAACTCCAAATTACACATATTGGTGATGCATATATTTCAACATCTTCAAGCACTTTATTTCTTAAACATGTTTGAGTTGTTCTTGATATTATATCAAATTTGATCTCCATTATTCAATTACTTAAGGATTCACCTTTTATATTTGTTATATTCACACCTTCTGGCTTTGTTATTAAGGACAAGAGGTCTTGGAAGATAATTGCAACCGGTGTTAGAGATGGTGGTCTTTATTCATTCGGTCAAGACAAAGTTGCCTCTTTCTCTGTGAGACAAAGAAAGGCATCTCAAAGGATTTGGCATCATCGATTGGGTCATCCCCAGTCAAAAATTCTAAAATTCTTGAATAATAAAAATTTCATTTATGTTCAAGGTGTTATGGACAATTCAGTTTATTCAAGTTGTCAAATGGGAAACATTTGCAAATTACCTTTTCTTTCTAGTAATGAATGTAGTAGATTTCCTTTTCAAAATTGCATTATGATATTTGGGGACCAGCCCCTTGTGCATCTATTCAAGGTTTCAAATATTTTGTTACCTTTTTAGATGATTTCTCTAGATATGTTTGGACATTTCCCTTAAAGAAAAAATATGACTTTTTTCAGTATTTTAAGTCATTTAAGCAGATGATTGAAACTCAATTTGATAGCAAGATTAGAATTTTTCAAAGTGATGGTGGCGGGGAATTCATCAAAAATGAATTCCTTGCACTTTTAGCTGATAATGGAATTATAAGACAGACTTAATGTCCTTATACAGCTGAGCAAAATGGCTCCGTAGAACGAAAACACACTTATTCCATAGTCATGCTCCTAAGAGGCTATGGTTAGAAGTAGTTAATATTGCTGTTTTTCTTATCAACAGAACTCCTACTCCAATACTAAATATGAGCTCACCTTTCAAAATTCTTTTTGGAAAGGATCTAGATTACACTATGCTAAAGAGTTTTGGATGTCGCTGTTATCCATACTTAAGAGATTACAGGGAAAATAAAGTTTCTCCTAAAACTCCTCCTTGCATTTTTATTGGTTATAGTCAACATCATAAAGGATATAGATGTCTACATCCCCCTACACAAAAAATATATATATATATATATCCAGACATGTTATTTTTGATGAAAATAATTTTCCTTATGAATCTGATTCTTCAATTATTGCTATTACTCAGGGGGAGCTCGACGATTCTAATCCATGGCTAAACCTCACCATGTATTTAGAAGATCAAAGCCTAGCAAAAATAATTTCGAAGTCCTCATCTATATCAAAGCCATAAGGAGATTTATCAGAATCTCTTGCCATTAATGCTGATATTCAAGAACCTGCTCCACAGACTCGTATAACACAATCTGCTTTACCACAAGAAGGAAACTTGCCACAATTTGAGCATCCCAACAATAAGACTCAATTTTCTCATCCAGCAAGACATTTGCAATTAAACACACATCCAATGACAACTCGTGGAAAACTCAAGGCAGGCCTCATACATTTCAACTCACAACAATTCTCCATTCCTTGTGAGCCCAAGACACTCAAAATTGCCTTGTCTCATCCAGATTGGTACAATGCAATGAAAGAAGAGTTAATGGCACTATCTAAGAATTAGACATGGACTCTTGTTCCGCGCCACTCCTCCATGAATGTTATTGGCTCTAAATGGGTCTATAAAACCAAGTTAAAAGCAGATGGCAGCTTAGAAAGGTTGAAAGCAAGGCTTGTAGCTAAGGGATTCAACCAACAAGCCGGCATAGACGATGAAGAAACCTTCAGTCCGGTTATCAAGCCCCAAACAATTCACATTGTGTTCATTATTGCACTTGCAAAAGGATGGACCATCAAGCAATTAGATGCCAAAATGCCTTTTTACATGGCTACTTAAAGGAACCGGTCTACATTGAATAGCCACCAGAATTCAAAGACCCAACTCATCCAGATCACGTATGTCAACTCAACAGAGCACTTTATGGTCTTAAAGGCTCTTAGAGCTTGGTTTGAACAATTCAGTTACTTCCTACTTCAACTTGGTTTTCTATGTAGCCATTGTGATTCATCTTTATTCATTCTTCATCATGCTCAAGGTACAATCTATCTTCTCCTATATGTGGATGATATCATTGTCACTGGTAGCAGCTCTATTTTTCTTGATGCTTTTATCACAAAGTTAGGTACAGAATTTTCAATGAAGAATTTGGGAAATCTCTCATACTTTTTGGGAATTCAAGTCTCCACTACCCCTCATGGATTATTCCTATCTCATAAGAAATATGCCCAAGAGCTCTTTGAATGTGCAAGAATGATTGATTGCAAAGCCATAGCAACACTAATGGTTGCCAAGTCCTTGGCACTTTTTCACACAGAGCCATTCTCCAATCCTTCACTCTTTCGAAGTTTGGTTGGAGCTTTACAGTATCTAACAATCACAAGGCTAGAACTTTCATATGCCGTTAATATTGCATGCTAATCCATGCACTCTCCTACTGTTGGAAGCTTTCAGTTAGTCAAAAGAATATTGAGATATGTGAAGGGAACAATTGATTATAGCCTTCATTTGCTTAAAGACTCTAATCTTGACTTATATGGCTACTCCGATGCTGATTGGGCAAGTTGCAGTATCACACGACATTCCATTACAAGTTCTGCAGTATTTCTTAGCTTTAACTTGGTATCATGGGGAGCAAAGAAACAAAACACAGTTGCACGCTCGAGTGTGGAAGTTGAATATAGAGCACTTACATCCACCACGGTTGAACTTACATGGCTTTCTTTTCTATTGTGTGACCTTGGCATTTATCTCTCTCGGCCTTCAATTCTATTTTGTGATAACATCAGTGCCTTATATATGTCATATAATCAAATATTTCATGCTCAAACAAAACATATTGAGATTGATTATCACTTTGTTCAAGAAAAGGTTGCCCAAGGCTCTCTTGTCACTTGGTTTGTACGCTCCCAAAATCAATTAGCCGACATATTCACAAAACCCCTCACTCGATATCAGTTTCAGTATCTACAAAACAAGTTGGGTGTTCTTTCTATCTCACACCTCAACTTGAAGGGGATAATAAAGATTCCAATCAGATCCTTAATTCTAGCAGTAGAAATTGGGGCTAGATTATTGCCTTAATCTATTGACTGTTATGTGTAATTACTTTCCTTGTAAATATAGTTGTATATAAATAGATAATGCTATTGCACTCTCAATATTGAGAGAGTGAGTAAATTCCATAGAAGTGTTGTTAAACCTTTTTAGAGAGAAGTTAAGGGTTGTGCGGGAGGGGAAGAGGGAATCCAACAGGTTTTGGGTATAAAAGGGAAGCTCAGTCGTTGACATATTCAAAAAACCCCTCACTCGATATCAATTTCAGTATCTATGAAACAAGTTGGGTGTTATTTCTATCTCGCAGCTCAACTTGACAAGGATAATAAAGATTCCAATTAGATCCCTAATTCTAGAGTAGAAATTGGGGCTAGATTACTGCCTTAAATCTATTGATTGTTATGTGTAACTACTTTCCTTGTAAATATAGCTGTATATAAATAGATAATGCTACTGCACTCTCAGTATTGAGAGAGTGAGTAAATTCCATAGAAGTGTTGTTAAACCTTTTCAGAGAGAAGCTAAGGGTTGTGTGGGAGGGGAAAGGGAATCCAACAAGTTTTGGGTATAGAAGGGAAGCTCAGTCGCCGACGGTTTAGAGGGATAGCTGTCGATTGAAGGGAGGATTTGGGAGATGAGAGTGAGAGAGAGAAAGCCCAGGGTCATTTGAAGAAGAAGAAGGTTCGAGACTACATTTTTTTTTTCTTTTTGTAAAAGTGAGTTTTGGGTTTTGGGTTTGGGTAATTGTGGGTTTTGGGTTTGGGGTTTTAACTTTAATGCATTTTACGCCTCCAACTTTTCATTTCTTTAATTGAGCCCTTTGTCTTAATCTCTTTCGACTTTTTCGCGAAATTTCCTTTTTGCCCACGAACCTAATAAGGAAAACAAAGATAAAACATATTAGTTAAAATAAAGATAAAATTAAAACAAAACTCTATTAAAAATTTGAGTTATTACACCTGTTTTAAGTGTATAAGATAGAGAAAATCTTTACCCACGAGTAGGTGGATGAGTTGGCAAGGAACTCTTTCAGCTTAAACAGAGGTTTTGGTTTCAAGTCCTTGGAATGCAACTCCGTTAAAACTCGTGAGGGAGAGTTTTACCGTCGATTGGGTTCTGCCCAACTCGAATTCGGATTAATCGGTGGTCTAGTGGGCTTCCAGATACCAAATGGTCCATACCAAAAAAAAAGATAGAGAAATCTTTTTATTTTTAATGATTATATGTTTTTAAGATTCTATTATTATTGTAGTTTTAAAATTTTTATTTTGGTTTTAATTTTTTATTTATAGTTTAAAAAATTTTAAAACCCTTAAAATAAAATTAATTATTTTTATAAATTAATTAAGTTTGAAATTTTATACTTAATAAATTAATAATTATTATTTCTAATAATTTTAAATTTGAAAACTAAAATAAAATATTCAAAATACAACCATACTAAACTAGGAGCAATTACATTCTGGATTTTTTTAAACATTATGAACCCGATATTGTATATATTATAATAATAAATAATAAATTACAATTTCATTAATTTTAAGTAAACAGAAAAATAATATGCAGTGCACCTATGCATTCAATACAATTTGTAATTATTGACAAGAGATAAGTTTTTTTATATTAGAATGATTCTCCTTTCCTAACCAGTAGTTATAAAATATGTTGTTCATGTTAAGCAAAACTACAAAACCATGTTTTTCCTTAATAGCTTAGTTAGTATATCATTTAAACTCTGGATGGCGAATATTGAATAATGGGTAACAAATTTTAATTGATGCAACTTTGTTATATAAATTGATGTATCAAAGAAAAAAACTGTTGATATTTAATATTAAATAACTATTAATGACATATTTAAAACAAATTAAACATATTTTTTTCTTCTTAAATTTTTTATTAAAATTATTAATTTTATAAAAAATAATAATAATAAATAAAATAAAATAAAATAATGTAAATTACAAACTCATTTTTATTTTTAACAAAGAAAAATTAT